GTCCAGAAATGTGCAGTTCTAGGCACAGCCAAGATACTGGAGGAGAACCTCAAGGTCCCAGGCCTCTGGTTGAGAGAGATTAAAATGTTTTTAATTGTATAGCTTTGGGACCTTAAATGACCTTGACAACAAATCTAACAAGGTATGTTTGCTTATATCAGAACAGAAGATGTACATTTCTTTCTCTTTTTCATGAAGTCAAATTTTTGTTTTCATGCCACAACAGGAAACAAACCATCACCTTTATCTGTCGACACTCACTAAGGACAAGGCCTGTTTGCTTGAGAGAAGTGAGGCAGCTGATAATGACTGCTGGGGCCGGGGACTTTCCTTTAATAACCGACTCTGGGTGATGCAGAAGCTTCAGCATTCATGACAGGAACACCTCAGCAGCTGTTATCATTTACTGATTACATTATTGTGCTGCTTGCAAACTCCTTTTGGCATTGTTACAGGACAGAACCATGCTGCTGCTGCTGTCCTCGTCTTTGTCTCCCTTCACTCAGGATCTGACAGGAAAACATCCAACCTGGACTTCATGCTTCCAGTCATCAAATTTTACAGAGATGAATTTTTTTCTCCACTAAGCCTTGTAAATTGTGGCTCATGAAAACATATTTCATGCTTGTCAAGGTTGCAAAAAGAGCTGAAATTAATTTGAATTGCAAGCAATAGAAGTCATTTTAGCTGATTTTTGAAAGCTGTCATTGTGAATGACTTTTTTTTTCTAAAATCCCGAATTTACCAAAAACTGTCAATCCCCATGAACTTTAAACTTTATTATACATTATCATGCAACCTTATGCTTTGATGTATTGAACAAGGATGAAGTGCAGAATAATAAATGGTTTTCTACATTTTTACAGAAAACTCTAAAAAAGTGGCTTGTATTTGTATTCAATCGCCCTGAGTCGATATTTTATAGATTTTTGAACATTTTACTGCAAAATGTGACTGCCATGTTTCATCAATATAATGCTGTCATCAGATTGAATTGTTTTAATTTAAACAAAGGCTCACTTCTCAAAACTGTTGTCTAAATTTCATAACTGAATTGTCAACAAAATCTCCCTTCCAGCTGTGGATATGGGACTTCTGGCTGCTATTGAAATGATCCATTGTTTCTGATTTTCTCCAGTAGTCATTGGATCAGAGGCACAGGCCAACCTACAGGATAAATGAACACGTGTTTATATACATTCAACACAATTATTTTTGGACATTTATTCAATTTATTTTTTCAGTGCATTTTTATTTTAATCTGTCATCTGTTTAGCACCACCGATTACACTGCAAAAACACCAAATCATACCAAATATTTTTTTGTCTAGTTTTAGTGCAAATATACTAGTACATTCGAAATGAGAGAAAATTAACTTACAAGTAACTTTTCAGTAAGATATAGAAGCTTGTTTTAAGTCAATAATACTTTAATATTGTACAAGTTTCACTGTCATATGATCTCATTTGCAATAAGGGAACATGTCTTGTTAAATACAGGATCTATGGAGTATTGTCAAGATGAGACACCAGAGTGAGCCAGCTATGAAAGCAATGAGGGATTCCAGCCTGGTTGACTCCATGACACGTTGCATTAATGCAATAATTCATGCAAAAAAAAAACAAAGTGCATATAAATAGAAGTGAACTTATTTCTCTAAGCCTAAAATATTTTTTCTGGATCTAATCTTAAAATTTTCTGAGACACTGAATTTTGTCTAAACCATAATCATCAAAATTACAAGAAATAAAGGCTTGAAATATTTCACTGGAGGTGTAATGAATGAGTTTCGCTTCCTGGAATGAATGTCAAAATATTGAACTTTCATGATATTCTACTGCTGTGAGATTTGGTTACCACAGAAGCTTTACAAAAAAATATATTTCTGAAGAAGCTGATGCTCAATTTTTGATCTGCTGCAGATTCCCAGCTCTTCTTACCATCAGCCTGACACAAACACCTCAGAAGCAACAGCTCTGCTGCGCTTGAAGGTCAATCTGACTCGTTTTTTCAGTAATCTCCAGATCAGATCAAGGTCTGCTGGAGCCTCCAACTTTCTCCTCCAAAAGAGTTTTTTTCCAACCCGATCCTAATTTGCTTCTGCCTTCTCATAGATTCCTCTCCATCATGTGTTCTCTAGAAGAAATTCAGAATGTCTAAGCTCTGCCTGCAGTGCTGCCTTCTAGAACAGCAGTCATAAAATGTAACAGCTTTATAAAAAGTGATACGCACACAAGGCTATACAAATGCATATGTTCAGTATTATACAATAAATTAGAATATACATTATGTTGAGTCTAGTTAAAATGAAAGCACCATTCTTCTTTGTGTAATCTATATAATGTGTTTCACTTAGAGATAAAGTTTCTAAAAGAAATCAGCTTTTCAATAATATTCTAAAACAGAAATAATTATCATTATTATCTCACAGTGGATGAAATTCAGGTGTAACAGCAGCGAATCAAGGCTCAGTAGGAACATGCAGATTCACATAGAGGTAAAAAAAATGTAAAAATAGAAATAAGACTTTAGAGTAAAGGCAGATTTACAACATAATATGAATAGTACTGATCTCATTAAATGTGACATACTTGGGTATAAATAAATGTGCATCTTATTAGAATAATAAAAATACACTTCAAAATGTGTGTGTACACTTGTGCATAGCATAAAACATACTTTCATAATGTCATACTTGAACTATACCACAAAGTTGTGACAGCCAGACTGAAAATCCAGGTAGGAGGCGCGGCAGATAAAGAAAAATGTACCAAAGTAAAGTTTTGATGTTATGTTAACAATGTTGGCAAAGTAAAGAGCTGTAGAGTTTTTATCATCTCAAAGAAAGACTTTAAGTTCCTTAAAGGGCAGCCGTCCAGCACATTGCTAAGCCTGAGCTTCATTAATGAGTTCTGGCTAATGATGGCTGCATACACACCGCTCCTGCATGGCTGACTCTTCTCCCCCTCAGTGTGACCTTCTAAAGGATAACAATAACTCATGTCTTCTCTCTTGTTGATTACAATATGAGCATCACAACTAGGTCACTTATCATGCCTGAAACATGCACAAATGAGCATCAGCATAAAAATGAAAACAATGCACCAAATTCCCTTTCAGTCCATGGATATTTCATCCATAAGTGAAATATTTGGACCTAATATTTCCATCCAGTTACTATAAGGCTGGTTTGTCCAGGAGGTATCAAATGTCATCTTCTTCAAGGACATCCTGAAGGTCAGTTTTTATCATTTTGTTCCCAAACCTTTCTGTGCCACAGCCCCCCTGACCGGGGACCCCTCTGCAAATACACTAACGATGCTACAAAATATGTAAAGAAACATTGAATTTTACATTTTCCTTCTCACGTTTATAAACTATTCAATAATTATCTCATTCATTTAGCATAACTGCTGCCTCATACATTTTGAGTAGAAACAAGTTCTGTGGTGGATTTTTTTTAAAATCAGGAAATATACTATGATTTTATTAATCTGATGCTGACTATATAACCTGATCAAATCCCCTCTATGGGAAAGAAAATATGTAATATTTTTATAGAATTACATATCACATATAAATTTGGCAGGCAGTCAATCAGAAAGAGGAGCATTTCAAATAAGTTTCTCGAATTCATTTGGCTATTTCCATCTTCAATAAGTCATTTACACTTATATACTTTAACTCTCAGCTGGGATTTGAACCCAGGACTGTTTTGCTGCAACACAACGGTTGTAGCATGTGCAGGACTGCAGCACAGAGCTCAAATTCAAATGTTTTTAACAAGGAATTAATTGATTAATTGCCATGCTAAACATTTGTTGAGGTATTCTTGGGCAATATGATTTCACTAGTGTTTATACTAAAGTCTGCACATGCCATCTTTATCTGCATTATAACTTCCTCTAAACTGATGAGCAGATTAATATTTCTGATTTATTTATTGATCAGGTTTTAATGTTCATCCTGTTCCTTGTTTGGGCTGATCTCTGTTTTGCACTTTGAAGAAGTCGGATGAATTTTCCGTTACACAGTAAATTAACTCTGCCCTCTGAATCAGCAGGACTGAAAACCTCTGAACACATTATCATTTTTGCTTGATCCTCTGTTATTTAAGTGAAGTTGGGTGGAAGTGTTTTGACCTTATTTTTCACTTAATGCCTGTCTTTTATGTGCTCCAGTGCTCACTGCAGTCCTCTGGGCTTCTACTTAAAATAAAAAAGAAAGCTGTGCAGCAAGGTTGTTTTTTTTCACTGCAGGTACAAGTGTGAAATGTCGAAAATTGATTTAGTCACTTTATGAGTTGTGAAAACAATAGCCCCCAAATGTCACAAATAATCAAACGTCTGATGCTGTTTTATGCCTGACTTCCCAAGGACCTTTATCACCATCTGTGTGTTTCACCATTAAGAGCCGATATGTAGAATTGAAACTGGCCCAGAGGTAGAGTCATAACCTTCACTGGACCAAATTATGTTACCTATCAACTGTTCACTGAAACCCATTTTTCAAACCATTACTGATAGACAGAAAACAAAATAATTTATTTTAAGGTAGCCTGTAATTGTGTCCTTCCCAAGAGAGGAAAGAGTGGGACTGTAGTCTTTATACTATGTATTTGAACTGCATTTTGTTATTTTTATGGTCTTCACCTTCCATCATGACATTGGGCTAATCAACAAGCCCTTCGTTAAGTCTGTATAACCTTTGACTGACATTATTTACAAACCCTCCAGAACTCAGCTCTCCACAAACTACTTAGCAACATGCTAGCATTAGCAGCCACAGCGTCAGGGTTAGGATGTCTCGGAGATGGACATCAGAAATGCGTAAAACCAAAAAGGTTTGGCGGTTGGAGAGGGTATGTCATCCCCCCACCACCACTTATATTGTGGGTAAAAAACAATCAACATTGACCAAAAGGTGGTGCTATAGAGCCTGGTAGGGTCACATGGGAGGAGTGAGGGCACATTCTATTCAAAGTCCACATGTGACCCTCTTTTGATGCTTGAAGCATCTCAGAAGACCACCCCCCACTTTGAGAAGGCCAGCCCACTCTCCCCAACACCTGAACGTTCAAAAAGGTGACAGTATTCAAGCACTCCTCTCCTGATGAGAATAATCACCAAATCAAAAATAAAAAAAACTTGAAATTGGTGAAAAATTATCATACATGGATGCAGTGACACCTGGAGGAAGTTTCACGTAGTTACAATGAGGCACCAGGGGAAGGTCACCTCTAGGATAGACCCTCTGACCTTGGCTGAGGTCGAACAGAGTCCACCCACAGTACCACCGTCGTCAACCATTAATGTATCGTGGCATCAACTTTTTAACTTTTATGCCTCTTTTCCCCAGAACAGTCATGTCCTGGATGGGAACCTACACCAAGGTGTTAAAGTATTTCCTCTTATCACTGTACATTCATACAGTTTCATACACAATATTATTTCCCTCTTAATTCTACAACCTTCAACAAGTCTGGCTATTATACAGTCTTTCATTGTTGTCTTATATTTTATTGTCCATTCATAAATTTTACATCAAATTTTAGCAGATCTTTTTGACTTTATTTCCATTTATTTATTTATTTAATTCCCAGCAACTCTAAGTTGAATAATGTTGAATACCTCAAGGCAAGACTCTGCTAATGTTGAACAGAGACTGATGTTTTCCCCCTTAAAACCTGTTTATGATGTTATCTGATGCCGTCCTTATGCCTTCCTTTAAGCATCTGAAAGATCAATTGCATGAACAAAATGCTCAGCTTATCAATATTGTAATTTGTCTCTAAAGACAACCTAAAAGTGTTTTTACAAGGATGCTTCAAAGAAGCTTTGGTTAATGACTGTTTTATCTTATTTCTTCT